AATCCTATTTTAGAAGCAGAACTTAGAAGGAATAAAGCCTCTTCAGATAAACCAATTAGATTATTTGATTTGCTTTTATGTTTAGAAGATGATATAGCGACAATTCAGGAAGAACTTGGTATTGTCAGTTATATTAATCAAGAAATGGCAGAAGAAGCTGATAAAAATATAAGAGTGTATCTCCAAAAGTTTTAAGAATTTTATGGTCTCTTAAAAGATGTTCCAAGTGTGTTAATACAAAAATTTATCGATAGTGGGATAAAGAAATTTTGGTTTACTGGTGAGAGACTACTATTATTTCTGAATGTCTCTCTTCAACAATTGCATGAGATTTTTGTCAAAAAATCGGCTAGTGACAATTAGTGCCTATATCTAGAATCAAAAATAAAACAACGAAAATTATTACAGATATATATACATCACAGCAAATAAAAATTTTTTGTTTGAAATTAGCTAGAGGCTGTCAAATACCCGATTACCTGCTCTATTCTATAGCCAGAATAACGTGCTTCTTGCGATATTATTTAATGATATATATTATACCCAAAAAAATAACTCGATAAATAATTACCCATTCTCCACTACTAAATAAAATTATTTGTAATCCATGATATGCATTTCCAGATATTCTAGCATCGATGAGAATGAAATACATATACAAGTTTTCAAAGCAAAGAAGCATGATTAGTTAACATTATCATAGAGTTGGAATGGTCTCGTTTCTTCAGGTAGTTGATTCTTTCTCTGATAATTGACAATAACGTAATTTTGTGCTGATGAGATGTTATTGTCAAGATTGTGACGTAAGACTTCTCTGGCGATTGTCATAGCATGAGCTAAATTCTTTGCCCATGTATCACCACAGCATATACAGCCCCTATTTTACGTAAATAGCAAGGAATTAAATCGTAGTTTTTTAAGAATCTATTAAACCATTTTGCTTCTGGCTTACCTGGGTTGCCCATTAGACCAAAAGAAATAGTATTCTGAATCCAGGTAAGCAATTTCTTAACTCGTTCTTGATTCTTCTCCATAGATCTTAATTTTTAAGGAGTATCTTTTTGACTTCGGTTCTTTGCATAGCCTATCACTCCAGCATCTGTAATGCATAAAGATATAAGTTTAGCAGGGTGGATACAAAGCATTATCATAACATCTGCGAGAGCTTGTAAGTCAGGTAAAGTAGATATATCATAACTATCCAATCTTTCTTTGACCGATTCTAACGTAAAGCGGTCTGGATAATCAATTCTCTCAAACTTCTCAACAAATATTCGTCGATTCTTCTGAATTTCATTAGCATCTTTTGTAATATCGGGGAATTTTGTAGCTTTAATTATCTGGGATGAAGCACCAAGATTTCTTAATTCTCTTCTGAGTTGTAATAACTGAGAAGAACCAGCATTAGCATTTAATGCCAATAAGGCTAAGGCATAAGCTTCAGCTCTTATATCTCTAATACTAAGCTTGTTCTGTAAAAATTGATGCGCCATCTTTCCAATAGTTTCTTCCTTTAATCCTTGCAGGATTGAAATAGGATCTTGATATCTATCGGAAGTTGCAAGATTTATAGTTTTAGTTTTACCACTTCTCTGGTTGGGTATCAATATACTCACCTGTTCACTGCTAAATTTAAAGCTATCCTGAAGACGTCTTCATGCCTGGTTCCTTTTTCTATCATTTGTAAGATTTTTGAGAAACTCAGAGGTATATTGTCTAAGCTCAGATATATTCATCTTTAGGGTGAGTTTATATTTTTCAACAATTTTTGTTGCAATAGCTGATATGATTGAATGTTATAATAGGTTGAGTAGTTTATGAATAATTCTTTAGGTTATATATACACTATAAAAAATATTTTTTAAAATCGAAATTAATTACGCTTTTTTCTTCTATACCTAGAAAAAAAGAGTTTATGTATACCTATAGAGTTACCGGGATGTCAATTTAAAATTTACCAATACATAGGATATAACGGAAAAAATTTATGTGGTGACTCAGGCTATATTAAGGTTTATAATTCATTTTTATTTTTTATTGCAATGTTCTCACTATAGCAAGTATATGTTCTGGACCTAGAGCATCTGCTTTACTGAATGCATCATATAAAGCATTCGGTTTATATTTTGATAGAGTTAAATTTGGGTGATAGAGAAATCTTGCAAGTATATTATTTCTCTATTTCCGAGTTTCTCTATGATTCCAACACATTTCTAATAATTGAGATAAGTTATATCCAGGGTATCCCATCTGAATCAGATTATATAACACAGTTTGTTTATTTTTTTCTATAGCAAATAGATATATTTCTCTTTCCACAGCAGTACCTACAGAAATAAGGTATCTTTTACATATATCCCTCATTTTCGCTAAAGTAGAAAGAGACAGGATCAAAGCAAAATAAAAGAAGTCAGCTAAGGGATAGATTGTACCATATTTATCTAGATCTATTAGCAGAACATCATCTAAATAATATAAAAGGTCTTTAGTATATTTATAATCTTCACACAACAATTTTTGGAATAACTTTCCATTCTTTTTGATCCAACGACCTGTGGATAAGTTGAGAACTTCTTCTGGGATGTCAAAATCTTGGTCCTTCATTTTTTAATGTGGTATATATTACGAAAGGATAAATGTATTCTAGAATACTAAATAATCATGATGAAACTTTAAATTGATTTTTTTCATAATTGATATTAAAAGTGAAAGGGTTTATGTATATTATATCCTAAAATATTCTGAATAAAACGTATTACTTGCTAATATGTTAAGAAGGATGGTACATTTTGTGAAAAAATTTGCATTTGGCTTTCTGGGTATGGTCTGCATTGGCGGATATAGGTAAAAAAAGCTTTGAAAGAGTTATGTAAAATATGTGAGAAACCCATCTCATCTTATACTAGCTATTGGGCAAATCATGTTGGGAGAATTTACTCCTACAAATATCAAATTAGATACAAGAACTAGTATATCATTGCCTCCAAATTCATATACATAAGCAATTTCGAGTGATACAAAAATCCCCTTTACAAGTATTTTACAATATTTTTTTGATCTGAATTTTTATATCGTCTAGTTGTAGAATCAAAAAATTCTTTCTATATCGAGGATCCTACCTATTGTAAAGGAATGACCTTTCTGGATCTACAAAACTCACCTTATTCGTTCCTTATTAACTAAGCAATTACCATAACATACCATTTTCCTGAAATATGCTCACTGTTTTTTTCTATTTCTCATCGGTATCGAGCCATGATGAGGTGATTCCATCTTTCTCAAGAGAACAGCAAATTATTTCTTCACTTATTATCTTTCTTGTACTGACATGTCCATGTATTCACTAGGATTTTCTTTGGCCTCCTTTGCATAACTACACATTCTCGCATCAGTCTGCATTCTATCATAGAATGCTATAGAATTAAGCTTATCTTTTTCAGTTATAGTAACGAATTTATC